CCCCAAAACCCCAAAACCCCAAAACCCCTACAGCTTGGCCCACTATTGAAAGGAAAGCAAGTGGGAATTTTGGGGATAAGAAGACAAAAATGATGGACAGACAAAAAGGAATGAAGCAGAGGAAGATAGCAGGGATGTTTAGGAGGATGGGAGCGGTCATGAATGTGTTGCAGTATTATTCTAACATGAAGGAATGAGATGTTTTTATGAGAGAGTTTTCAGTGGATTCAAGGAAGATATGGGTGAACAATTTGTCGAATTGGGTACATTTTATGAGAGAAACATTGACTCCAGTTGAGATATGTCAAAATAATATCGAAAGATATATTCTTAGTCAGTGACTCCAGAATTTTCGGTTCTCCATAAGGGTCGATCATAAAGCAGTCAAAAAGTCCAGATTTATTAAATATTTACAAGAGTTTATTCGCAGAGTCCCAAGTAGAAGCCAATTTGATTCGATATTTCTATCAATCTCTGCGGATCCTCATTACCCATATCTAACTGAAAATGATTGGAAGTCCAAATATCGATATTTATCAAAAATATCCAAAGCACTTGATTATGAACCATTCATATCCGAAATATCAGAAGATTCAACCAATATTGTAGGTTTTTACCTAGGCGAAATATTTAGTGTCAGACGCGTAGCTATCCTTGGTATAGCAGTATTTGACAATTTTCAAATTCTACCTTACCCAGAGAATGAAGATAGAGCCTACATTATTCAGTCAAAATACCTGATTGATAAAAATTCAATAAGTTTGAATTCTAGAGTATCTAAGTTCTACCCAAACCTGCCTTGCTATAACCTTGGCGATCAGATTATTTCTCCATTCCTTGAAGTAACTGAAATAGAGTTGAATATAGATCACTCAGAAACTACTGAAGAAGTCTGCATGGAGATCCTCAGTATGATATCAGTCTATTACCCTGCTCTCAAGAAGATCAATTACATGCTACATGGGACTGATCTAATTCCTCAATGAAAAGCCATTCTCTACTACCGGAAAAAGAGAAATCTGGAGTGCTTCATTTATTCTCCAAGGATAAAGACCATCTCATCCAAGATCAGGATCAAAGCTTCTAATGTGTCCATTGTTGGCTCAGCAGAAAATGGCGGCGTTTGAGAGAGATTCACCTGATCTTGTGATGTCTACCTTCATTCGCCCTTATTGGTTCAGAATCTATTGATCTGAAAGCAATTTGAGATACACACAATGTGGGATTTAGATGATTCAGAAAGTAGCAGCAATTATAACTTATCAAATCAGTTATCCCTCCCTCAAGCGCACCCTCCCGCCCACGAATCCCAAGCTATCACCATCAACCTTTCCCATGCTACCTCACTAGAGACCGACTACGACAAACTATGCAACATCCTATCCACAAAACTATCCGTCAACGACCAGAACGAACCCCTGAATTTAACCAGCAGAGGAATTCACAGAAAATATTCTAGTAATTTTGTGAAGACCAGTGAGATTGTGCATAAGTTAGGGAAAGAATGTGAGATTTTAGTCAGAGCGAGTTATTATATGAGAGCAAGGGATGGGAAATATAATGAAGAGTTAAGGAATGTAGTAGAGTGTGTGAGAGGAAGGGAGAATAAAGTGACAATCGATATTCCACCAGATGTTCAGGATAATATTGCTTGGGATTATGTTGTGCAAGAACTATTCCCAATTGTTAAAAGAGTTAATCTTGTCTTAAGCCTCACACAAGAGAATACTGTAACTTTTGGTAAGAATATGTGGATGGAGTTGAAAGCTCTTTGAAGGTGTTCTAACTTTGGAGAAATCAAACTCAAAATGAAAGAGCCTCTTGAGTTGATAGCAGAACATGAAGATAAAAAGACTGATGATTTTGTAATAGCGACTGTCAAAGATTTTAAATCAATGATCAAGCTCCCTCCAAGTGTCCAAACTAGAGTAATTTATGATTAATTCTTTATACCCTTAAAACCTTAATTTTTACATGATTTGCAAGTCTAAATTATCTTCTTGGTCAAAGACTTTCTGATTAGCAACCCCAGGTATTTCCATAACTTGTATCAAATCTGTCTTGGACTCAACTTTTTCAAGAGTTCTTTAGCATCTCCGACTGCTTAATGTAGAATCAGAATTTGCTTTAAAGCTAATGAAGCTGATTTAAAAATTTAGAATTGGTATCATGAAATTTTGAAAATTGAAGAGAAGGTTAAATATTAATAATGATAATAAAGGACAAACAATTGGATAAAGAAGGTAAATGAGCACTCTGGGTGGAAGAATAAAGATATGAACCCAAAATTATCGAACAAACCTCACGTATCCTAATCTTCCCAACCCCTATCCCTAATACCCTTCTCACCCAATCCTTCTATCTCCAATCCAAAGCCTAAATCCCCAAACCCTCCTCTTGACCCCAAAACCAGGCTTCTTGAAATACCAAAACTCTGACTTGAAATAAGTCTGTTCTGAAGAACAGACTAAAATTTGACTAAAAATAGGTTTCAGGCTTGGCTCTTAGTAGGGGTTTTGGGGTTTTGGGGTTTTGGGGTTTTGGGG